TCTTAAGTTAGATTAGAGAAAATGTGATTCTTGGCAATCACTTGTACAAGTTTATCTGGCTACCACATCTCATATTTATGTTTATTTATTCTATTATAGGGTGTATTTATCATCTTTTTATGTTATGTATCGTGTTTTTTATTATATAATTTTGAAAAAAATATCATGGATGGATTAAGAAAAATGTGTATATTTATTTTTTTATTTATTTACAATTTGAGCACACATACAGAGGTACCAAAAAAAAATACAGATAATAGCAGCATGACAAAAGCCACTATATATTAAACGTAAATACAACATTTAATGAGACTCGGTGATTATTATTAATATTATTAGTATTTGCAATATGGCATCACTTGTGCAAGTCATCTGCTACCACATCTCATGGATTTATGTTTATTTATCTATTGTTGGGTGTATTTATCATCTTTTTATGTTATGTAATCGTTTTTATTAATAAATTTTAAAAAATATCATAGATTGTGATTATGAAATGATTATTTTAAACGTAATATACGACATTTTAAATGAGACTCGATGATTATTATTATCATTACAAATAATGAGACGTCTGGAGACATAAGACACTCTTACTGATTTTAATGTGTACCTGCATGCCAGCACAGTAAGGTAATTTATTAATTACAGGTATACATAAGTATAAATTAACAGATATATATAAAATAGAAATAACTTTTAAAACATTTGAAATTTTGGGAGTTTCTTTCCAGACAAAAAAGGAGAGACTTAGTGCTTACTGAGCTCACGAAAATTGGTAAGACAAACAATGTGGGTGGGCGCGGTGAGCGTATTAGAAAGTCAGCAGTGTGGGAGCCGTATAGCGATTTTGGTCAAAATTTGGAAATGACCATATTATCTAACCCGTAAGTGAAACGCCGTAAAGCGGGGCCCGCAGTATAATATATAAAATATTTATCTATAATAAATATATATATATATATATATATATAATATATAAATAATATATATCTATAAGTATATATATATATACTACACTTTGGTCACACTTCACAGACACGCACATGCATATATATATAGTATCATACATCTAGGTTTTTCTCTTTTTTTCTAAATACTCTTGTTCTTTTTTATTTTTTTCTATTGTCCATGGGAAGTTGGAAAAGAATCTTTCCTCCAAAGCCATGCGTGTCCGGTATGCGGCGACTAAAATGCCGGGAGCATGGGCTAGTAACCCCTTCTCCTGTAATACAATTACTAAAAAAGAAGAAGAAGAAAAAAACTTATAAAACTGGGTTTGCTTAAATGTGCGTGGTTTATGGCGGATGACAAGAACAGATGATTGCTGATGTTATGAATGAAAAGAAGTTGGATGTCCTGGCCCTAATCGAACAAAGCTGAAGGGGGTAGGAGAGTTTCAGTGGGGTGGTGAAATAATGGGATTTAAATCTGTTGAGTATCTGAGAGAGTTAGCGCAAAGGAAGGGGTATCAGTAATGTTAAATGATCAGGTTATGGAAGGAGAAAAAGAGAAAATGAATGTGTAAATTCAAGAATTATGTGATTAAAGTAAAGGTTGGACTGCGAGAAGTGGGTCATAAAAAGACGTGTATGGCACCTGGAGAAAGAGAGGAATGCAGAGAGAGAGATGAGATTTTGGGAGATGTCAAGGTGAATTTATAGGAGCCTTTGAACCAAGTGATAGAGTAATTGTGTGGTAGGTGACTTGAATGCTAAAGTAGGAGAAAACTTTTTAGAGAGGGTGTGGTAGTAAGTTTGGGGTGCCAGGTGTAAATGAAATGGGAGCCCTTTGATTGAACTTTGTATAGAAAAGGGGTTTAGTTAAATGTAATACATATTTTTAAGAAAAGAGGATAAATAAGTATATGACACGAAATGATGAAGGGCTAAATGACAGTAGTTTGTTGAATATGTATTGGTAGATAAAAGACTGTTGAAGTAGACTTCGAGGATGTACATGTTTATAGAGGGGCCACCGTATATCAGATCACTTTCTAGTTGTAGCTATACTGAGAGTAAAAGGTAGAAGGGATACAAAGGAGAATAGAGCATCAGGGAAGAAGAGGTGAAGGTTTATAAACAAAAAGAGGGAGGCATTAAGGGTAAGATATGTAAACGGCTATTGGAGGATATAGATGGGCTAATGAGAGCATAGTCATGGGGTCCGTAGAGTATGGGGTAGGTTAAGAAAATGTATGTTAGATGTGGTTCAGGCAGAATTTTGTGGTTTACAGGAAAGTGGGTGCAGGGAGGAAGAGGAGCGATTGGTGGAATGATGATGTAAAGAGAGTAGTAAGGGAAAAAAGTTAGCAAATAGAAGTTTTTTACAAAGTAGAAGTGATGCAAGGAGGGAAGAGTAATATGGAGAAGAAAGAGAGAAGTTAAGAGAGTTGGTGAAGCAATGTAAAAAGAGAGCAAATGAGATAGTGGGTGAGATGTTATCACCAAATTTTGTTGAAAATAAGAAAAGTTTTGGAGTGATATTAACAAGTTAAGAAAGCCTAGAGAACCAAAAGGATTTGTCAGTTAAAAATAGGAGAGGAGAGTTATTAAATGGAGAGTTAGAGTATTGGGAAGATGGAAGAATACTTTTGAGGAATTTGTTAAATTTTTGATGAAGATAGGGAAGCTGTGATTTCGTGTATAGGGCAAGGGAATAAACATCTTGTAGGAGTGAGAAGAGCCAGTGTGAGTGTGGGGGAAGTTCGTGAGGCAGTAGGAAAATGAAAGGGGGAAGGCATTCCTGGATTGAATGGGATAAAGATAGACATGTTAAAAAGCAGGTGGGGATAAAGTTTTGTAGTGGTTGGTGCAAATTATTTAATAAATGTATGAAGAGGGTAAGGTACCTAGGGATTGGCAAGAGCATGCTTAGTTCCTTGTATAAAGGCAAAGGGGATAAAAGAGAGTGCAAAAATTATAGGGGGATAAGTCTGTTGAGTGTACCTGTAAAGTGTATGGTAGAGTTATAATGAAAGAATTAATAGTAATACGAGAATAGGATAGCATATGAACAAGGAGGCTTTAGGAAAGGTAGGGGTTGTGTGGACCAGGTGTTTACAGTGAAATATAAGTGAACAGTATTTAGATAAGGCTAAAGAGGTCTTTGGTGGCTTTTATGGATTTGGAAAAGGGTAATGACAGGGGGGATAGGGGGGCAATGTGGCAGATGTTGCAAGTGTATGGTGTAGGGGTAGGTTTACAGAAAGCAGTTGAAGAGTTTTTATAACAGAGGATAGTGAGGCTCAATTAAGTAGTGTAGGAAAGAGGGAAATTTTTTCCCAGTAAAAGCAGGCCTTAGACAAGGATGTGTGAAGTCACCTTGGTTTGTTTTAATGATATTTATAGATTGGGTTGTAAGAGAAGTAAATGCGAGTGGTTTTGGGCAAGAGTCGTGGAGTTAAAAGAAAAAGAATCACACACAAAGTGGGAGTTGTCACGCTGCTCTTTGGCTGATGACACTGTGTTGATGCTCTTGGAGATACTGAAGAGAAAGTTGCAGAGATTTGGTGGATAAATTTGGTAGGGTGTGCAAAAGCATAAAATTAAAGGTGAATACAGGAAAGAGTACGGTTATGAGATAACAAACGAAAATGTTATGAAAGATTGAATAATCAGATGGAGGGAGAGCTCGTATGGAGGTAGGTGAACGTATTCAGATATTTGGGAGTGGACGTTTCCAGAGCGGATGGGTCTATGAAATATATGTGAATCATAGAATTGATGAGGACAAAAAGAGTGAGTGGTGCACTTAGGAGTCTGTGGAAACAAAGAACTTTGTCCTTGGGGCAAAAGGGGAATGTAAAAGAGAGGTATAGTTTTACCAACGCACTTATATGGGTGTGAAGCGTGGTGTTGAATGTTGCAGCTAGGAGAAGGCAGGAGGCAGTGGAATGTCATGTCTAGGGCAGTGGTGTGGTGTGAATAATAATGCAGGAGAATTCGGTAGTTTGGAAGTTCGGAGGAAGGTGCGGATTACCAAAACTTTTGTCCAGAGGGCCTGAGGAAGGGATGTTGAGGTGGTTCGGGAAACATGTAGAGAGAATGGAGCGAAACAAATGACTTCAAGAGTGCATCATCCTTGTAGTGGAAGGAAGGCGGGGTAGGGTCGGGCCTAGGAAGTGTTGGAGGAGGGGGTTAAAGGAGGATTTGTGTGCGAGGGGCTTGACTTCCAGCATGCCACACAACACCCCTCCATGCGTGAGCGTGTTAGTAGGAGTGAATGGAGACAAATGGTTTTTAATACTTACCGTGCTGTTGGAGTGTGAGCAAAGTAACATTTAAAGGGATTCAGGGAAACCGGCAGCCGACTTGAGTCCTGGAGATGGGAAGTACAGTGCCAGCACTCTGAAGGATGGGTGTTAATGTTTGCAGTTTTAAAAACTGTAGTGTAAAGCACCCTTCTGCAAAAGGGAACCCAAGTTGAAAATGGATTGAATGATGGTGAAAGTTTTTCTTTTTTCGGGCCACCCTGCCTTGGTGGGAAACGGCCGGTGTGATAATAATAAATAATGTCGGACTTGAGTCCTGGGAAATGGGAAGTACAAATGCCTCACTTAAAGGAGGGTTTGGGATATTGGCAGTTTTGGAGGGAATATGTTTTGGTGTTTATTCTTTATATGTTTTATGCTTCTAGACTGTTGTATTCTGAGCCCCTCTGCAAAAACAGTGATAATGTCGAGATGTGGTGAAAGTGTTGATGATGATGAAAGTATTTTTCTTTTTGGGGGATTTTCTTTCTTATTGGTGTCAACCCTGCCCTTCGGTGGGAGACGGCGACTTGTTGAAAAAAACAAAAAAAAAATATATATATATATATAATATATATATATATATATATATATATATATATATATTATATATATATATATAAATATATTTATATATATATATATATATATATATATATATATATATAAATATAAGTATATATATATTTAATGTATATATTTCTGTTATCTTTTAACAAATATTAATGTCCTTTTCTTGCCCAAACAGTGCGAAGTGGAATGCTTTTGTTTATGATTAACTTGAAGATTTCCGATTGGGAACCCACAAAGGTAAGTACAACACATTGTAATATGATGGGAACCCGCAAAGGTTTTAAATAACAGTATAACTAGAGTTTCACTCTATTAATGGTCATGTTAAAAATTTCTACATGTCAACAAAAAATTTTTACTCTCCACTCCTGTTTGATATAAAATTTTAACTTTGAACGCTAAAGATGTGCTATAAACTTATGGAAAATAACTTTACCTTTAATATTGTCATTCCTCTTGACCTTGATGACTTCCTGAATATCTGACATGATGTCTGCAATGATATACAATACACAGTAGTAGTAGGGTTTGGTAGACAGCAACCACCCAGGAAGGTATTACCATGCTGCAAGTAGGTTGGTAGACAGCAACTACCCAGGGAAGCACTACCATGCGCAATAGGTTTTTTTTCGTAGACATCAGGCCAGCCAGGGATGGTACTACCATTCTGCAGTAGGTTGATAGATAGCAACAGCCAAGGAGGCACTACCATGCTGGAGTAGGTTGGTAGACAGCACCACCCAGGGAGGCACCTACCATGGTGTAGTCTGTTGGTAGAACAGCAACCACCCATGAAGATACAACATGCTGCATAGGTTGGTAGACAAAAACCTACCCTGCTTTTAGTTAGGTTAGACACAACCACCCTGGGAGTACTATCATGCTGCAATAGGTTGGTAACAGCACCCACAACTGGGAAGCCACTCACCATACTGCAGTAGTTAAGTAAACAGCCATCACACAACCACACTGGGAGGCACTACCAAACTGGAGTAGGTTTAGTAGAACAGCAATCACTCTGTGTGACACTGCATGCTGCAGTAAGCTGTTAGACAGCAACCACCCCAGGGAGGCACTACCATGCTGCATTAGGTTGGTAATAACCACCCAGGGAGGCACTACCATGCTGTCAGTAAGATGTGTAGACAAGCAACCACCCATGAGGCACTATCATCTACAGTTAGGTTGGTAGACAGCAACCACCCAGGGAGGTACTACCATCCTGCATTAGGTTGGTAGACAGCAACCACCCAGTGAGGCACTACCATGCTGCAGTAGGTTGGTAGACAGCAACCATCCAGGGAGGTACTACCATGCTCCAGTAAGTTGGTAGACAGCAACCACCCACAGAGGCATTATCATGCTGCAGTAGGTTGGTAGATAGTAACCACCCACAGAGGCATTATCATGCTGCATTAGGCTGGTAGCCAGCAACCACCCAGGGAGGCACTATCATGCTACATTTGGCTGGTAGACATCAACCACCCAGGGAGGTACTACCATCCTGCATTAGGTTGGTAGACAGCAACCACCCAGTGAGGCACTACTATGCTGCAGCAGGTTGGTAGGCAGCAGCCACCCATGGAGATACTACCATGATGCAGTAAGTTGGTAGGCAGCAGCCACCCAGGGAGATACTACCATGCTGCAGTAAGTTGGTAGGCAGCAGCCACCCAGGGAGGCACTACCATGCTGCAGTAAGTTTGTAGACAGCAACTACCCAGGGAGGCACTATCATGCTGCTTTAGGTTGGTAACAGACACCAGAAGGTATTACATCGCAGTAGGTTGGACGCAACCACCAGGAAGGTATTACCATGCTGCAGTAGGTTGGTAGACAGCAACCACCCTGAGAGGCACTACCATGCTGCAGTAAGTTGGTAGAGACCAACCACCCACAAAGGCACTACCATGCTGCAGAAGGTTGTTAGACATCAGCTACCCAGGGAGGTACTACCATTCTGCAGTAGGTTGGTAGACAGGAACTGCCCAGGGAGGCACTACCATGGTGTACTGTTGGTAGACAGCAACCACCCAGGAAGGTGCTACCATGCTGGAGTAGGTTGATAGACAGCAACCACCCTGGGAGGCACTACTATGCTGCAGTAGGTTGTTAGACAGCAACCACACTGGGAGGCACTACCATGCTGCAGTAAGTTGGTAGACAGCAATCACCCAGGGATGCACTGCCATGCTGCAATAGGTTGGTAAACAGCAACCACCCAGGGAGGCATTACCATGCTGCACTAGGTTCGTAGACAGCACCCACCCAGGGAGGTACTACCGTGCTGCAGTAAGTTGGTAGACAGAAACCACCCAGGGAGGCACTACCATGCTGCAGTAGGTTGGTAGAGAGCAACCACCCAGAGAGGCACTACCATGCTGCAGAAGGTTGGTAGACATCAGCCACCCAGGGAGGTACTACCATTCTGCAGTAGGTTGGTAGATAGCAACCACCAAGGAAGGCACTACCTTGCTGCAGTAGGTTGGTAGACAAAAACTACCCATGCTTCATTAGGTAGAAAGCAACCACCCTGGGAGGCACTACCATGCTGTAGTAGGTTAGTAGACAGCAATCACCCTGTGTGACACTATCATGCTGCAGTAAGCTGGTAGACAGCAACCACCCAGGGAGGCACTACCATGCTGCATTAGGTTCGTAGACAGCACCCGCCCAGGGAGGTACTACTGTGCTGCAGTAAGTTGGTAGACAGCAACCACCCAGGGAGGCACTACCATGCTGCATTAGGTTGGTAGCCAGCAACTACCCAAGCAGGCACTACCATGCTGCATTAGGCTGGTAAATAACAGCCACCCAGGGAGGCACTACCATGCTGCAGTAAGTTGGTAGACAGCAACCAGCCATGGAGGCACTATCATGCTACATTAGGTTCGTAGACAGCAACCACCCATGGAGGTACTACCATTCTGCATTAGGTTGGTAGACAACAACCACCCAGGGAGGCACAAATATGCTGCAGTAGGTTGGAAAAACAGCAACCCCCCGGGAAAGGGGGACCCCTTCCCATGTGCATTTGGTTTGGTTAGACAGCAACCCCCCAGGGAGGTACTCCCAGGGCTTCAGTAAGTTTATAGAAGAAACCCCACAGAGGCATTATCTTGTCCCAGTGGTTGGTAGACAATAACCCCCCACGAGGCATTTTCATGTTTGCATTGGCTGGTACCCCAGCAACCACCCAGGGGGGGGCACTCCATCTGCATTAGGTTGGTAGACACCCAACCCCCAGTGAGGCACTACTATGCTGCAGCGGTTGGAAAACCCAGCAGCCCCCCAGGGACCCCATTTACCATGCTGCGAAAGGGTTGGTAGACTAAACCCACCCATGGAGGCATATCATGCTAAAATTAGGTTGGTAGACAGCAACCACCCGGGAGGTACTCCCATCCTGCTTTGGGGTGGTGGGACATAAACCCCCCCAGGGAGGTACTACCATCCTGTTTTATTTTGGGGTTAAACAGAAACCACCCATGAGGCATACCTGTGCTGCGGGGTTGGTGACAGCAGCCCCCGGGGGGGGGCCCACTACCATGTGCAGAAAAGTTTGTGGGCCCGCAGCCCCCCAGGGGGGGGCACCCCCAAATGCTGCAATAATTTGGGTTTGACAGAAAACTACCCAGGGGGCACTACTATGTGCAGTGGGTTTGGGTTTAAAACTTACCACCAGGGAGGCATTTCCATGCTGCGGGGGGGTTTGGGTGGGACAGAAAGAAACCCAGGGGGGCCCTATCATGCTGCATTTGGTTTGGTGGGCCCAGCAGCCCCCCAGTGGGCATACTATGCTGCGTAAGTTGGTAGCCCGAACCCCCCGGGGAAAGGAAACTCCCATGGGCAGAAGTTGGTAGACGCAACCCCCTGGGGGGATTCCCAATGCTGCATTTGGTTGGAAGACAGAAACCCCTCCCATGGAACTTCCCAATGTTTGCAATAGGGGGGAAAAACCAGCAACCACCCAGGGAGGGGCACTTCCATGCTGCATTGGGTTTGGGTGGGCCCATCAGCCCCCCAAGGGAAGCCTAGCTTTTTCTCCCATTTAATTTTGTTGAAAAGCAACCCCCCAGGGGCCCTTCATGCTGCAGTTGTTTGGTAGACAGAAAACCACCCGGGGACGGCAATTCATCCTACTTTTGGGGTTTGACGCAACCCCAGGGAGGGCATCCCATGGTGCATGGGTTTGGGTTTAAAACAGGACCCCCCCACGGGAGATTTTATCTTTGCTGCATTAGGCGGGCCCGCAAAAAACCACCCGGGACCACTTTCATGTACATTCGCTGGTAGCAGCAACCCCCCGGGGAAACCCCCTCCCAATGCGGGCTTTTGGGTTTGGTAAAGGGAAAAAAAAACCACCCGGGGAAGGCATCCCAAATGTTTTCAGTAGGTTGGTGACAGCAGCACTTTGGAAGGGTACTCCCAAAGCTGCATTGGTTGATAGCAGCAACCCCCCAGGTATGTATTTACCATCCTGCGAGTGTGAGTGGAAGGGAAAACCCTGTAATTGTTGTACGCAATGGTGAGCTGTTTTTTGTGTAAATGAGCATAAAAGGTAACGGGAACATCTTGCTAATTTTTACTTAAAAATTTAGGTCCCCCTCCCAAGGGTTTGTTCCATACATAAAGATGTTTAAATTTAAAATTGTTAAATTATGAAAAAAATTTAGAACGCCCCTTTTCATTTTATGTTTAAGCATTTCACACCCTTCTTAGGTTTTGGGAACGAAAGCAATTTTTCATTTCGGGCCCGGCCCGGGGAAAAGATTAAAATGAATGATAAAAAATTTGCGGTCAAGCAAAAAAGTTTTTTCCCTGGATATTTTAAAATGTCTTGCGGGTTCATTTTCAGGAGGAATTGCGAGTTTGTCTGGGGGAAATGGTAAAGTTACCCTTTGGAAAAACCACCGTTTTAAAAGATGGAAGTAGATGCTAGTCTGGCTCTGCAGATTTTTCTGACAACAATTAAAGAAGTTTCATTTTCCTTTCATCGCAGCACAAAGCTCATTGGAAATATTCTCTCGGGATTTTGCTATTAAAGCATTTTATAATTTAAAGCAGGTATTATTAACAAATTTCCCTTTGGGGGAAAGGGGAACAAAAATTCTTTCTGTTAGAAAAGCATGTCAAAAGAGGAAACCTAAAATCCCAAAGATAAAGGGGGTAGAAAAAGCTTTTTTGGTTATTAAAAAAATTTTAAAAAAAGGAAACTTTATTTTTTTCTTTTTGGGTTTAACTATCCCTCGGTGGGATATGGCCAGTTCTTTGAAGAAAAAATTATTAATAATGTTAAAAAATTAATTGTTTAACCTGACAGGGCAGACAGAAAAAGTAACCCAAAGATAATTATTTAAAATAACTTTATGGTAGAAATTTTTATTCAGGGTTGAAACTTTTATACACCTTAAAAGGGCCCCCGTTTGTTTGTTTATTTTCCCAAAAAATCCCAATATTTACAAAATTTTTGGCCCAAAAACTTTTTTAATATGATTTCCCCAGGGGTTTGAAAAAAATTAATAATAAGTTGGGTTTTACATCGCATTTTGGTGCACAAAACTGGAGAAATTTGTGATAAGGTTTTTGTTAGTTTCATTAAAATTTACTGGTGCACAGTGCTCCAAGTTGTGAATTAGAATGTGAAATTTTTGAGTACAGTGGACCCTAAAAATTTCATTTTTAATCCGTTCCAGAGTTGGGGACAGGTGAAATTTAGAATAGAAAAAACCATTTTTCCCTTTAAAAAATGAAAACCCAAATTTTTTCCCCTTTCCCAGACACCCAAAAGTATTAACAAAAATTTTTTTTTTTATAGATTAAATATAGATTTACATAAGAAAAAAAAGAAAAAATCAATTATTAAAAACAATAATAAAAAACCCTTTATTGGGGCCTCGTGTTAGTGTGTGGAAGGGGCGAGGAGAGGCGTTAGAACATAAAAAGGAGGGGAAAAAACACTGCAGTGGGAACCGTTGGCCCATGCTAGGCAGGCCCTTTTCCAAAACCCACCCCACTAACGAAATATTTCCCCAAACCCCCAATTTTCAATGCTCCCAAGAAATTTAAAAGTTTGAAAATTTTCCTATTCATCAGGGCAAGTCCACTCAAACAAATTGGGTGGTGGGGAAGTACTCGGATGGTTTGTAGGGAAGTCCCCTGCCCTGGTTTGTTGGGGGGCCCCCTGACGGGATTTTTAACATAAAAAAGCGGGGAACATTGCAGCGCCTGTTGGCCCTATAAGCAGGTCCTTCACAAATTCCCACTAACAAAATTTATTTGCCCAAAACCCAATTTTCAATGCTCCCAACCCTTTAAGTTTTGGGGGGGAAAAATACCCTGGCTGGTTTTGGGTTTACCCCCCAGGTTCCCCAAACCCTTTAATGGAAGATGGCCAATTTAATTTAAAAAGGAGTATTTTGTACCCTTCCGAAGTGTTTGATGCCCTGAAGGGGGGGACTTTATCCCTTCCAAAAGGGGTTTTGTGTTGATCCCACTGAAGGACATCACCCTCTCAGGTTTTGTCCTAATCCCTGTGAAGGGGTGTAAACCCTTTCCCAAAAGGTTTTTTTGTGCCACTAAAGGATTCTGGCAACCCTTCAGGGGTTTCTTGATGCCACTAAAGGTTGTGGAACCCCTTCCCAGGGGTCTTGTTTGCCTAAAGGATTTGGAACCCTTCCAGAGTCTTAATGCCACTGGGGGATTCGGGAAACCCTTTCCAGAGGCCCTTGTTGCCACTGAAGGATTGTGGAAACCCTTCCAGGGTTTTGATCCCACGGGAAGGTTTTGTGGAAACCTTCCAGGGGTTTGATCCCACTAAAGGATTGGGGGAAACCCCTTTCCCAGGGTTTTGATCCCACTAAAGGATTTTTGGGAAACCCCTTCAGGGGTTTCTTGATCCCACTAAAAGGGGCCCTTCCTCAAATACAGTAAAACCCTTTTTTAGAGGGGCCCAAAAGTACGAGTTTTTTCGAGATACAAAGTTTTTCCCTTTGGGTTTGTTTTTTTGCTCGGGTTTAAAGACCCCGCCCCCCCCCCCCCAAATTTTCCCCCTCAATGCAAAACCGGGACATTGACTTATTTGTGTTTGGTTTTCATGTTTTTATTCCAAGGAAATCATCCTTTTTTTCTTCTCAGCACTGCCCCTTTCCCTTTTAAATTTTTTTTTAGGCCAGGGCCCAAATTGAATGTAAAAAAAAAAATAAAAAAAAGCATGGGGGAAAAACTGCTCCCACAGTGGGGAAAACAGTGCACGGGTTTTGGCCCCAGCGGTTTTTGAAGCTTATTATTTTTAAACTTTTGGGTTTTTAATTATTTTTTATTATCATTATTTTTAAATTTAGGGAATGAGCACAGATCCGCCCCTAGATAAAAGGGGCCCCTCATCGATCAAGATTCATTGTTGCTGGTGGGGGGCTTTTAAATTAGGGAATTGGCCTGTGCTCCATTTCCCCCTAAAATTTAAATAATAATAAAAATTAAAAGGTGGACTCCGCCTTCGATTTTTAATCCGTTCCTGAGAGCTCACGTAAGCCAAAATTTTTTTTAAGGCAAATTTAAATTTTTCCCCCCTAAAAGGGAAAAAAAATTTAAAAATCAAATTAATCCGTTCCTGAACCCCAAAAAGTATGAAAAAAAACAATTTTTACCACTTTAAAATTTAAATTTTTAAATACACAAAAAACTAAAGGAAGACATCCCAAGTTTGCTTACTAAGAATAGAACACATGCCCTTTTCCCTTTATTAAAAGATCGGGTGATGATTGTGGGATGGGAGGGGGGGGAGAGTGTGGAAGTTGTTTTTGTTTAGAAGGGGAATCCCTTTCATTAGGACTTGAGGTATAAAGGGTCCTTTTCGGGGGTTTTACTTCCCTTTTTTAATGCCACTGGGGACCAGTTTGGGGATTCATGGACCTCTGTCGCACAACAAATCTGTCCTTTGGGGCTCTGTACTCCTTTCCCTTTTAAAGACTTTCCAAAAGGGGCCCAAAACATTTTACGGGTTTTCCAACACGGCTTGCAGTAGCTTTTGTCGGGGTGATTTTTCTGAAAGGTTTGCAGTTCCCCCCACTTTGCAATTTTTCCCTTTAAATTTTTTTAAAGTAGGCAATTTCCTAAATTTTTCCCCTCCCCCCCTCTAAAGCAGTTTCCTCAGGGTCTGGCCTCTTGTGTTAAATTGGGGATCTTGCAGCTTTTCAGTGGTTAGTTTTTCTTTGTCCCCTCCACAAAACTTTTCCCCACATCCTCTCCAAAACCCCAAACCCCATGGATTTTCCCAAATTGCCATAATAGATTCCCCAATGGCATAGGCTCCTGAGGGTTAGCCCAAAAACCCTTTCCCAAAGCCCCTTTCTTTACACATTGGGGCCCACAGATTCTTTCAAACAGAGTTAAAGGGGCCTTTAGTCCACTCCCCCCCAAAACCTTCCTTATAAGGTTTCAAAAATGAAGATGAAAAAGTGTCTTTCCAAACTCTCTTAGAGTCATTTCGAGCGTTTGAGGACATTTTAAAGCATTTTGGAAACTTTAAGCTTTTGTGTAGATTTTTTTAAAGTTTAAAAATGACCTGCTGTCCAGGGGCCCTCCGGGAAAGGGGAGTTGGTATTAGGAGGAAAACCCTGCCCTTTAATGTGTCCTGTCCCTAGAAGTCGCTCTCCCTAGTCTGAAGGATGCCAGGGCATTTTTTAAATACCAGGGGCATTAAGGTCCTTTTTCTTTCCATTAGGAAATTTTTTCACAGTTGGGGCAATGCATGGTGAAAACCGTCTTTAGAAAAAGCCTAGTGCCCCATGCCTTACTTTTTCCCTCCAAACCCAAAAAAAAATTCCCTTGGGGAAACAGGGGTTTTGCCTAAAAGCTCTGGGAGTTTCGAGTGAAAACCAATAAAGGTTCCTTTTCAATAACCAAAAGCATTGCACACACAGAAGGGGGTAAGTGTCTTTTAAGGGCTTATGTCCTGGGAGTGCCTTTTCCTCCTGGTAATTTTTAGGTCCTGTTTGGGGCATTTTCTTCCAAAACAGGCCTGTTTCATCGAAAATTAAACATTGTTCCCGGTTGTAATTCTTAAATGTTATGTAATCCGGGGGAATTTCTTAAAATTTTTTTTCAGCTGCTTTTTGGTCCGAACTGGCAGCCCCCCATCCCTTAATCCACTATTTTTGCCACTACGTTCTTAAATCTCTAAAACCAAACCCCTTTTGGTGGCCTTACATTCATCAAAAATCCCCAAATATTTGCGGGGCTTTTTTTAAAAAAAATTTTCATCTGAACTTCCTAGCCTTTTCAATATGATCGCTTGAGAATGCTTTCTCCTCCCTATTGCTTTTCTTTTTACCACCCCAAAAAAACCTTTCTCTCAAAACATTTCTATCACTTCCAATCTTGTTTCAAAAAAAAAAATTGAAACCTTTTGCAAGAACGCTTCATTGTTTTGCTTTTTTTGTTGGCCAAGAGGGTAGCGATGGTCAAAGGGGGGTTTGGTATAAAACCCTGGCCAGCCCCGGAGAACCCCACTCCACTTTCTTACTTAGCAATTATCTCTTTCTTAATTTCAAAGAAATTTTCCCCCTTTTTACCCATGGCGGGCACTAGGAGTTTTCTTGGGGCCCATGGTGACTTTTTTTTCCCGCTACAAGCACTAAAAACCTTGTGATATATGAAATGTACCAAATTTTATGCTTAGATGCAAACGCCTGGTGGCTTGTAAACAGGGCAGGGCAGGGGGAAGTGAGGCCAGCGGGACTTTCCGGGGACAAATCACTTTAAAAAAGCAAGTTTTTTATCGTAAAGGCGAGACAAAATTTTTTGCGTTAAAATTTGCTTCGGTATGGGGTTTTTTAAACCAAAAGCGATGCGTTCGAAAGGGTTTGTGGACCCCACTTTTAAATTTAATTAATGTTTAAGGCCTCATTTCCCTTTTTTTAATAATACTACAAAATACAAAATAAAAATTTCAAAATGTCCCCTTCTGTTCCCCAACACCAAATCCCAAAAAACATTGTAAGCAAT